TTTTATCGCGGTGCGTATCGTTTTCTTTTCTCGGTGCGGGTGGCAATACCCTTTTTTGGGAAAATCTCGGCAAAACCCTCCGCCCGGCACGACGTGTTGCGTCGCGGCGGCATACCTCTGCGCCTGCCCGTAGGGTTTATAAACCCCTGCCGCCCAGGGCAACTGCAGGAAGGATGCGTATCAACCTACTTGCCATATTCTATGTTTACCGGTTTTACTAGGCTACTACGTCACATGGCTGATGGCTCGGTGTGTCCGCATCTTTTCTTGAAGCTGTACGGTAGAGCTCTAGAAAGGTTAGGGCCTGTTTAGGTTTTAAAAATTTTCACCCCAAAATATCACATCGAATCTTGCGGTACATGCATGGAGTACTAAATATAGACCGAAAAAAACTAATTACATAGTTGGGTGAGAAATCGCGAGACGAAACTTTCAAACCTAATTAGTTCATAATTAGACACTAATTACTAAATACAAACGAAAGTGTTACAGTAGTCAAACAGTACCCAAACCCAAAAAATTTTGGGAACTAAACGCGCCCTTGGCATGCTTGCTCCATTATCCCTCTGGCTACATGATAGGAATATGGTCTTGTTCGTTTATCTTATGAGTCGTACTTTTTTAGCAAACGAATAGTGTTTTTCTCTCACAATAAATTAGCCAATAGTACTTTTTAACCTGGCTTATCAGCCAAGCGAACAGGGCCATATACATTGGCTTGATCAATTGTTGATACAATGCATATAGGTAACATAAATTTAAATAAAATTTAGTATGCATCATCAAAGGTATTCCTATGTAATAAAAATAAAAGATCTGATAAAATTATGTGTTGGTAACATTTTAATATACAAAGATTATTTCAGGTCGTTTTTGTAGACTGTAATTATTCTGCTAGCTCATACTTTTCTAAAACTTTCTCTCCTCTACATAGTGATGCATAGATGACATACTATAAATTTTTTTTGTTCGAAAGGGCCAGGATACATTCCTCGTGAAAAAAGAAAGGGCCAAGATATATCATTAATTGTCATGATAATCATAAGCAGTCGTATACGTGACATGCTATATAGTAGAACTCTAATAGGACAAGTTGTTACGGTAATGAAAATAAGGGACAATTTTGCATCGGTTATCTTGAACTTATCCCTATTGAGACTAGCCTAATAAGACAAGTTGTTACGGTAATGAAAATAAGGGACAATTTTGCATCGGTTATCTTGAACTTATCAGCGTGGCTTATCAGCCATGGAATAGTGTTTTTATCTCACAACAAATCAGCTTCAGCCGGCTTATCAGCCGCAGAAACCATCAGCCGAACAGCATGTGATGGGTCTCGACGTCTCGTTCTACTAGTGTTGACGATAGGGCTATAATTAACCATATACTGTGTCGTGCTAGCTAATTGAGGTCCTAATCATGTCACCACACAACTGAGATGGCCACAAAAACGCACATGTGTTGCTAGATAGGCAGTTGATATTTGATGGTGGCATGCTAATAAAAATGGCGATATCTACAGCATATTTGTATCACCACACTGGATATATCTCTATATGCTTGGTGGTCTCACGTCTCTTGATTTTTGTGGTCAGGACGGATCAAACCAAGAGCAGGGGTGGAGCTAGGAATTATACTTAGGGGGCAGTAAAAAAGAGCCAATATATAAAAACTGAGTGCAACTCAACTCGTTAGATTTCTCATAGTGACCGTCAGAGTTAATTTATTGACTTAATGGGTGCTCGTATTTTCTTATATACATCATAGGATCTAAGCGCTATTTTTCAGTGGGTAAACGACATGTCCATTGGCGGCAAGACGTCTAGGGTGACTTTGTAAATCTTGAGTGCCGACTCAATTGTTTGGAGATGCTCTTGCAATGATTTTATTATCTAATTGTGTTTTGTATGATTTTATTATTTAAAAGATATTAATAGGTATATATAACAATAATTTTGTAGAACCCCCCTCTTAGTATAAAACAAAATTATAAAATTATACTAGTAAAAATTCTTGTTGTAAAATGTTAGGGTGGGCTCGTGGCCCCTGCCAGGCCCCCCTTGGTCCACCACTCTTTTCTCTTGTATGTGTATAACTCATGCATGGAGCATCCTTAGGGCTTCCCCAACGCTCCTACATGGCGCACTGCCCCATTGTCCAATACAACGGTGATGTTCCATGTCATGTACTTTTGATAGTCTCAAAACTTGTCAGTGTTGCTTGCAGAAGCCTTTATGGCTTCATCTGACAAAAGAGCCGGGCATCAACCGCAGACGCGTTGTGACGAGCTGAGCGTGTTCTAGCTAGCGAGCGATGGCAGCTTTTTCAGAACCAGCAAAATAAAGCAGCAGAGAAAGAGAAGTGCTGGTATTAGCTTGCGTTGTGGATTTAAGTAGCTCTGGAAGTTTGTGTATACGTGGAGTCACCTTTATTGCTGAAGCCAACACAGTTGTTGGCCTGCGTTGATCAAGCCCTTACAAATCTTTTGACATGGATGAGAGAGAGAAAGAAGAAAAGAGAGAGGAAGAGAAAGAGAACGAGGAAGAAATAAGCATGAGAGTGACAGTGAAGAGGTGTCGTGTCGTGCTAGAATGCTTGTGTTTGCTACTATGTGTGGCTAACCAAATTAACTCTTTTTACCCTATTTTTCTCGCACATGGTTTAGTTCTATTTATACTAGACTTCAAATATATATATATCATTGTTCATTTTTAAGTACCTTCTTTTAACTCTTTACTTCCTATGTTTAAAAATATTTTTCATCTTAGTTTTATCTTAATCAAATATCTCTAATCTTTACTGAAGTTTTTTTTAAAAAACACCAACATCGACAACAACAAACTAGTTAACTCACCACGAATATATGTTGATAGTTAATTTATTTAATGTTATGTACGTTAATATAGTGTTTATAAACCAGTTTAAAAATTAGAAAAAAAAAGTATTAAGGACAAACCTTAGAAAACATGTACTCTGGAACAAAGAGGATACTATATAAACCTTGGTGATTCAACATATGATGAATGTGACGAGACTAACCCAAGTAATTAATTGAATATAGTATATAATCTAGAGGCAAACGATGTTTTTCCTTTAAACCTAACCACAACACCGTGCTAATCTGACGGGGACAAAAATTTTTGCATCAAGGTTGCTGGTTGACCAGACCGGTAAACCCCTCGGATATATAACCATTGGTCACACCACACCGTGGACTTGTGGAGGCCGAGAGCACGGAGGCGAGAGGGCGCACGGAGAATCGCTGCACCCGCACCCGCGCGGCCGCGCCCCCATCAACACGTGCGGCGGCGATGGACAAGGCGCCATGACAAGCGCCTGCCACGCCTACGTGCACCCTGGCCCCTCGACGATTTTCTAAAACGGCGACCGTACATCGGGAAACGGGGGACACACACATGCATGCGCTAGCTGCTGCCTGCTGCCGGGATTTGTTTTCTTTCCCAGCCGAGACCGACGCCATCCGGCATCCCCACCGGCCACCGCCCCGCGCGCGCACGTTCGCGCGGTGATGGTGTCGTCGACACACCCCACACGTGCTCGCTCGCCTTTCCGCGGGGGTGAGCCATGCCGTGCATGCGGCTCATGCCGCCGCCTGCGTGTCATCAGCGTGCGCGCTCGGCGAAGAAGGCCTGGCTGGGCCTGGGCCTGGGTCTGGGGGCATTACGCCGCGCGTTTTTTTGACTTTGTTTTGGTTTATAAAGTTCGTATTTTTTAACCAACGAACAGTATTTTTTTCTTATCTTAAATTAAACCAACAGCATTCTTTTACCATCATATCTTATCGACCAAACAAATCTAAGCTAACGGGCGTTGGATGCTCTGCGCCAGTGCCGCCTGCTGGGGTGCGGGGGCGACCACGTAGTACGTCCGCGTGCGGCAGCGCATGTTGAGGGGTAGGTGCGGTGCGGCCGTTGAGTGGGCAACCGGTGAGGCGGTGCCAGTGTTTGATGCGGTTCAGCGGTTGGCAAGGAAGATACGGCGCTCGGTTTACTGTACGTACATCAGGCAAAAACAAAAAAGTGAGACAGTGAGTTCAGAAACGGTGGATCCATGGCGCCTGGAGACTGACCTTTTCTTTTAACCCAAGTAGGCAAGTAGTAGTGGTAGCCTCTGTAAACTCAGCGTACAGGTACAGCTACAATATGCAGTAGAAAAAGGAGTTAAAAAAACCGTCGGAGCCTTCCATGCCCCCCCACCCCAATTTTGGGGGGCTTTTGGCACAAATCCAGGCGGCCCTGTCACCCACCGGATCCCCACCCCTAGGCACACCGGATTCCACGACAAACGCAGCCACGTCTGTTTGTTTTGTCCCACGGCGACACCAGCCATTTCCTTTGGGCCTTTTCTTTTTTCCGCCGCGTGAATTCCAGGACGACGTCGACGCTGATCGCAACATATTCACACGATCGAATGGTCACGGCGGTCGCTGTCGGAGCCCTTCGATGTGTAGGAACTTCCTTGCCCGAGACATGGAGAACAGAGACAGTTTTCCCAATATCTTTCTACTACTTGTTCGTTTGCCAGGACAAGCAAGCTCGGCAAGACTAGTCAGGTAGAGAGATATGTATATGAAGTTATTAAGATGGGGAATCCATCCAGGGTGTAAAGAGATTGGAAAACATCAAGAAGAAATTAGTTCATTTCTTCCTACAATATATACAGGCCCTCAAACGGCCCATCGTGCTGCCGTGGGCGCCCAGATTTTCAAACAGCGCCTACTGGAAACGATCCAGCCCATCAGGAAAAGGGCGATACACAGAGGCCCAAACAAAACAATGCTCCAACACGAAGTGCCCGCCCACCCCGAGAATCCGAAAAGCCCGGCCCACACCTTCTCATCCAGCCAAAGGCATCTGTCTGTCTCTGTGTGTGTGTCCATTGGCTGACGCCGCGACCGCCCCAACCCACCTGCCCCTCTTCGGAGATCTCGCCGCCGCCGTCGACCTCCGTCGCCCCCTACTCCGCATCCGGCTTACCCGATGGCGCGGCTGCACTGGCTCGAGGCCGTCCTTCCGCTGGGAATCATCGGCGGCATGCTGTGCATCATGGGCAACGCCCAGTATTTCATCCACAAGGCCGCGCACGGCAGGGTACGCCCAAGTCCTCCCCGCCACCTCCCCGCCCCCCCCCTCCCCTCTCTCTCTCTCGATTCGAATCCTACTCCGTGTTGACGCGCGCTGCTGGTTTTATTCTGTGTGTATGCAGCCGAAGCACATCGGGAACGATATGTGGGACGTCGCCATGGAGCGCCGCGACAAGAAGCTCATGGAGCAGTCCTCCGGCAACTAGGTGTGGATCTGTGGTCTCTTGCTTCTGATCTCCATGGATTTTTGCTAGGATTCCCCTTGGGTGTCGGCCTCCTGGGGTGCGTGACTATGGTGGAATTCGTGGTGCGTTGCTGCGGGATGATTATAGGGTTTGGGTTCCATTTGGAATTCGTGGTTTGGGGCTGGGTTAGGTTAGGAATTTAACTCTCTTGTGGCCCGAGGATAGAGGAGTGAGGGGGCTGTTGATCCTAGTGGTCTAAATGGTTTGCATATTCTGAATTTGTTGGTACTCTGAATCGAAACTTCTTTGTCACTGCAATGGAATTATGGAAATGGGAGAGCCCCAGGTTATTTCCATTCCATATCACTAATCTGCTTTTGAAGTTTATAGTAGACTGTAGTTAGCTACTTACCTCGAGAACCCTTCTATCCAACAGATTGCTGTGCATGTTCAAAACTACAATCTCTTCACAAAAAGTATTCAACTTATCGCTGCTTTCACTTTTCTTTTCTTCCTCTTTTCCGCCATATTTGGGTTTGGGTGGCACACTGTATTTATTCACAAAAATAGGGTTTGAACTCGGTTTGGGGCTGGGTTAGGTTATAAATTGCTCCCTCTTGTTGTCCGAGGCGATTTAATCTAGTAGTGGAAATTGGGCAATTCCGTGGGCACTCTCAAAGTGTCGATTGATGACTTCTCTGTGATCTCAATGAGAATTGGAAAGCCTCAGTCTATTTCTATTACAGTAGTACTTCTTTTCAAGCATATGGAGTTGGACAAACATAGTTAGATCTCTGAAACAACAAGATTGATGTTGACAAATTACCGTGAGATTGACTGGATGCAATAGATCCTGTCAAGGTATGATTTTCAACCCTTATATCATTTTTGTGTATGTCTATAGATGCCCAGATGGGCCAAGGCCAAATGGGTCGGCACTAAGCCCGACCTGGCCCGCCTGACTGGCTGTGTCTGGGCTGGAACGTTGAGCCGGCACATGCAAGGTCTGATAACGAGCTAAAAAATATCTCTCCCATATCAGCCTCTCTTATCGATATCCATACAACAGACACCATCTCGCCTCTCTCGTCTCTATCTCTCACTCGCACACTCACAAGATACCACCTACACCATCTCCATGGCAAAGAAGGGGCCGATGGTACAACCGCCTCCTCCCTTGTGCCATTCCTAATCGGGCTTGGCCGCCTGTTTGGCCATCCATGGGTGTCTTTGGTTGTGTTTCTCACAAGAGCCTGGCTAGCGAAATAAGGCTTGCTAGTCCAAGCCTGCATAGGATAATACGAGAACCATTTATTTGGTTTGCCTATACTAGTTAAGCATAGCTATCTAAGATCTTGTTTGGTTGGTAGTATAGTTTTGGTATAGTCACCTCATCTTTGGTAGGGTGATTTTTAGCTCCATCACCTCTCACCTGTTCGTGTTGGCATTTTATCGAACAACTAGTGCTCGCCGCCAGCCCGCCTGAGTTCGCTAATTCATCTCCTCGAGCACTGACGGACGCACTGGCCATGGTGTGGTCGAGGCTTGCCATGGCCCACCCCGCATACCAACGACCGAGCTCCCACCATCCCCACCTTCTTGGGCCCGTGCCATGAGGTCATGCCTCCACGCAGTGGATGGAACTTGGAAGGCATGCGATTTCTCTATGTCTCCGGCGGCCCCTCTCCTTCCTACCCTCTGTCGTGATGGCGGCCTCTTCCCCTGCGCCCTCTGTCGCGGCGGTGGTCACGGAGTATAGTGACCCCTGTGTGGCAGTTCCGCCCGTCTTGGACGGGGACCCCTGAGCTCTGTGACCGTCCCCTGCACAACGGTCGCCGCGGACTGTGTCTGCGAGAGGTGGGAGCACAAGTGAGATGTGGGGCGGTGAGGAGTTGCTTAGCCAAGCCTGACCAAGTCATTGGCTTACCTGGCCAGGCTTTAGGCCAAACAAGTCGCAACTGCATTGATGAAGCCTGGACAGGGATAGGATAGGCCAGGAAACCAAACGCACCCTATATGTAGGTCTAGGGCTCTAGGCTCTATTAAATAGACAAGACAAAAAAACTGAATCAATAGTTTGTGACATTTTATCCATCCTTTTCCTCTTCTTTTTCTACAAGCTCCCTTTTCCCCTTTATTTTCTTATAAACCTCTATTGTTAGATAAGGGAAAAACACAAAAGTAAAGCTTAACTATTACTAGATACAGCATTTATTCAAAACATGGATGATCATGCACTTGATTTATGTTTTATTGTATTGTCTTCTGCCGGTAAGATCTTGTGATGTCCTGTGGACCTCCTTTAACTTATTTTCCTTTGTAGCCATTTTTGGGATGGCACTCACTTTAATTGTTTGTTAGCATTGTCAATAATGTAATACACGGCTTCAAAAAAAAAGTAATACATGATCACTGAATGAAATTGTTATGCACATTTCTGCAGGGTATTGATCAACCACAAACTTTTCTGGATGTTGACGAACCTCTTTCAAAAGCACAGAAGTACTGCTCTTTAGTTTCCTGTACAATGGGAACCAAGGCTTAATTGTTTTGCTTTTATTTCAACAGTTTGGAGAATAATCTGTATCTGACATCTGCTTAATTGAACAAAGCCAAATCCTTTGTCAATTGTGTACCACATTTCTTTCTGCCTTTGGAGCAGATCCATGAACAAGAAAAATACATTTTGCAGTTGTTTTGACTTTTGGTAAGTATCTGTCCTTGGTAGATCCAAAACGGGGTAGATCTGAATGATATAAGAATATTCATTCTAATTAAACAAGTTGCCGATGGTATTTGTTAGAGATCTCTATTTGTTATCTAGGAAAGAGTGAAATCCACTGAGGGTCCTTAAAACTTGTCACGAGTTCTCAAATAGGTCCATATACTTCTAAAACCAGATTTCCCTCTAAACTTGCTAAATGTACCAGCAAAGGTCCAAACCCTTTTTGGAAGGCTGTTTTCGCACATGTGGCGGCCACCGTGTCTAGGGCGCAAGGCCCTCGCTCCAGCAGCGGCGCGACGTGACGACGAGCAGTGGCAGGCGCCGAGCAAGGCCCGACCTTCATGCGGCGCGGTTGTGGCTGTGGCAGCGGCGGCGCAAGACGCTTTGGAATCGGGCGTCATCACTAGCCGCCTCGAGCGCCCCCGCGCTGTGCCCCAGGCGCTGGACCCTAGCAGGTGGTGGGCGCTGGGCCCGTGCTTGCCAGCCGCCGGCCTCGTTCTCCAGCCCATTCATCTGAACTTGGTGTGCTCCATCCCGATGCTAGAGCCACCTTCGCCGGCGCAGGTACGTGTTCAGGGAGTGGCCGCGCCGGGGAGGAAGGGGTTGGGGACCTCGAAGCCTGGGTTGGGCACCCAGGTGTCGTCGCCTCGTCGGCTCCGGGCATGAACTGCCCCGTGGACTGCGGCGGAGATACTGTGGTCCAGCCCGCCGAGATGTCCCCTCCTGTAGCGTGTCCGGCCACTTCACGTCCTCTGCTGCCGCCGCCGCCGCCGACGCCGCCTGCTGCTGCGCGGGGACGGGGCGCGTCGCGGAGCACGCCACTGCTGCGGCCAGAACCCTGAGGACGACCAGAGCCGACGACGACGACCTGGCCATGCCGACGATCTGCTGGCTGCTGCTGCTAGTGCTAAGTGGTGATCACGACTCGCTAGTCGATCCACTAATCCTTGACTTGGCTCTTCCATGCATGCAAGCACCCAACTACCCACTAGCTTCTTTGTCCATGCATGCAAGAACCGAACTATTCACTCGCCGTCCAACAGGTGGTGGCCCGTATACCCATTCTATTGCGCGCGTAGCCTCGTATACGCCGGCGATGAAGGACGGGACGGCCAGGTTCGAGACCCAGGGCATAGCGCAGAGGCGCGAAGTTGCCGGCGATCTTCACGGGCGGGTCCGCCACGCAGGGCATAGCCTAGCCTCGCCGCCGCCACGAAGGTCAGGCCGGCCATGCTCAGCGCCTGCCACTGCTTGTCACCGCGCCACGCTGCCGCGGGAGCGCAGGCCTTGCGCCCTAGACACGTGGCTGCCACGTGTGTGAAAACAGCCTTTCAAAATTGGTTTGGATCTTTGCTGATACATTTAGGTTAGAACCCGAAAATCTGGTTTTAGAAGTACATGGACCTATTTGAAAACTCATGACAAGTTTAAGGACCCTCGGTGGATTTCACTCTCTAGGAAATGCCAGTGAATCATCAGATGTGCTGAAGAGCACAATAAGCGGGAAAGGGTTTTTTTTTTTTGTGTGTGAAGTAAATAAACGAGAGAACTTGGGACTGAATGGCAGCAATCACTCATCTGAAAGAAGAATATTTGGTCACCAGATATAAGCGAGAAAATCAGAATGGGACTGGAATCGCAACATCTGAAAGAAGAACATTTGATCAACAATGGTTTCTTTATTTTCACCTTGATCAGGTGAATTAGAATTTACATTCAATAAAAACCCAACGACAAATCAGAGACGAAGAACCGTCACCCGTCCCTCGCCGTTTCTGGCGAAGAACCATCATCATTGAAGCTACGTGGCGACTCGTTCGTGTTGCCGCCGCTGTTTGTGCTCAGCATCCTAGGGGATTCGCTAGCAGCAATTCTGACGCCGCTATTTGTGTTCAGCATCCGCGGCGATTCGTGGCCAGGGGTGCTGCCGCTGTCCGTGTTCAGCATCCGCGGAGATTCGTGGTCAGGGGTGCCGCCGCCGCTGTTCGTGTTCAGAATCCGCGGCGAGTCGTGGTCAGGGGTGCCGCCGCCGCCACCGCTGTTGGTGCTCAGCATTCGCGGCGATTCGTGGTCAGGGGTGCCGCCGCCGCCCGTGTTCAGCATCCGCGGCGATTCGTGGCCAGGGTTGCCGCCGCCGCCGCTGTTGGTGCTCAGCATTCGCGGCGACTCTGTGTGACGAGAGGGCGACTGCGGTTCGGTGCCCGGATCTGCCGCCTGGTGCTCCTCTTCCTCCAGCACAAGTTGGGACGGCAGGGACTTGCGGCGATCTTGGCACTGCTCAGCCTCCAGCTCCGCATCCTCGTCATCGTCGGCGTCGACGTCGTAATCATCTTCTTCCTCGATGTCCTCGTCGTCGTCAAGGTTGACGACGTCCTGCATGTTGAGCTGGTGGTACTCGACGATCTCACGCAGGAACCGGTTCTCGCGGGCGTACACCGTGTTCTCGTGCGCCAGCCGCGCCTTCTCCTCGAGCAGCGTCTCCAGCTGCTGCCGTATCTGACAGTAACACGACGAGCGACGGCAGTAATGACATGTGAGTATTTCACTTTCACCTCACCATTTGGCATTTGCCGACTGGTTGCAGAGGCCGGTCGATCGGGCACGTACCAGGTCCTCGTCGGCGTCGGCGTCGTGGTTGCCGTCCCGGAGCAGCCGATTCTCCTCCTCCAGCTGCGCGCACCGCTCCTTGGAGAAGGCCAGGTCGGCGTTCAACGTCTTGAGCTCCCGCTGCAGCAGCTTCACCTTGGTGGCCATGGCGTTCGCTACCTGAGGGAGGGGCACATGCACATGCCAATGTGGGAGCTCTTCTTTCGTATTCGCAGGCAGCAGAAAGTATTGCGCTCTTCTAACGTCGTCGTCGTCGCGGCAAAGAAACTAAACTAGCGGCCGCAGCAGCATCCTCCTAATGGCTAACGTGCAAAACGGGAGGGCACCTTACGTCGCGAGAGGCCTTGATTTGAGGCGACTCCGTGTCGGCCAGCATCGGCGACATGTCGGGGCTGGCCGGGGTCAGGTTCGCGGCCCGGAAGTCCATGCTGCACGCCTTCCTCCTGATCTGCAGCTTCCGGGCAGCGACGACACCACCGTGGGTGCCGGTGCCGGTGCCGCCGGACGTTGTGCTGTCGGCCACCGCCAGGCCCTCCTGCTGCAAGCAAACGATATCTCATTCATCAGGCAAGAATGTCAACAAATGAAATGTGCGCGCTGAAAGCCTGAAACTGTGGAATTTATTTATCAGTGAACTCACTTCAAGAACGTCCTTGATCTTCCCTCCGATGTCTAGCTTCCCTTCCAACGATCCTCTCCGTGACGTGGGGCTCTGGCTCTCCGAGCTTCGGACCCGATCGTAGGACCAGCGAGATTCAGAGGTCTGGAAATTTCCATGGGAAAGTTAAAACTGAAGTGAACGAACACGCAGCATGTAATGAACTGGCAAAAGGATCATGTGAACGCGCCTGATGACTCTTTCGTCCGTCCCCTTTTGGTTTCAGACAGAGTTCTTACCTGAGTCTGAGCGCGTGGTGTGCCATTTTCGTCGAGCATGACTTTAGCTTTCTGAGCCACGAGCGCCCAGAACCCATGCTTGGTGTGGTCTTTCTTGGATAGCTCGATGTCGTACTTCGGCCCCTCGTCGTTTAGGCTCGTTGTCGATGTGTAGAGCTGGGTGACAGGGTCCTACAATTGTTGAACAAGCAGATCGTTCAGGGACAGGGTGTGATCTTGTTTGCACAAGAACAATTACTTGGAATTGCAAAATGGCATATGTTTTTCGGTGTGATTGGAGCAACGGTGTCGGCAATTCTCTATCAGAGTTCAGAGGCACAGGTGATCCTAGGAGACGAGTGCAAGGAGGAGTGGGAGAACGGAGCGCACCTGCACCGGGCTACTCGGCTCGGCGTCGCATTGGGACGCCGCCGCCGCGGCGGCGGCGGGGAAGCGCTCGCCGAAGGAAGGCAGCGTGAGGTCCGCGCGCGCGGCGGACGAGGCCACCATGGCCTGCGCGGCCAGGCGAGAGGAGCGGTCGGGGCGGCGGCTGTCGTCCGCGAACCGCGTGGCGCGCGGGGACGCGATGGCCGGCGACGCGGAGCCGCCCGACGACGTCTGGCGGTGGTCCTCCACGAAGGTGGCCGACCGCTGGATGCCCTGCTTCCGACGGTACGCCATCGATCACCAAGGCGTCGCGCGCGGTGGTCGCACGCGGACGGGGGAGGAGCGGGAGCCTGCCGCTCTGCGCACCGTTTCTTGGGTGGGGCGAGCTCCTAGGCGACGACGAGCTCTTTCCGGGGCTCCCGTTCCGCGGGCCGGGAGCCGTGGGTGTGTCGTGGCCGTTATTTGGTAACGAACTCTGCCCGCGTTTTCAGGCGCGCGAGTTTCTGTAGCGTGGCATGGTGACCGGCAAGGAGCTATGCATGGTTGCATACAATCATGGAATGGAATGACCAAGTCAGCGTTGTTACTCTGACACTCGCACGGATGGCAATTTTTTTAACGCTGAATGGCAAAAATTTTTAGATAATGTTAAAAAAATATTCAAGGTTCAGTCATCCCGTCGATGATATAAGAAAAAATTCACCAAAGATAGGCATATATGACCTAAGAGTATATAACTAATACATCTACTAGGAAAGGTATATAGTAACAACAACAACAACAACAACAACAACAATCTCCAACATGCCATCATATAGTTAAACTTTTACGTCTTTTTTTTACAACATCCTCTCCAAAAGAGTCAATATCACCACAAATACAGATGAAAGCGGAACCTAAGCCGAGCCAGATGAACAACACATCCTAAGACTAAACTATGACCAGCCCAAGAAACCAACACCACACTCCTCCACAAAAAGAGGGCATTATAAATCCAACAGAGACACTAAGCATTATTGGAGACACTAGATAATGGAATCGAGCAATAGAAAGTTTGTTTCCCATGGTGGAAGATAAACACCATTGAACAATGACGAACATTACATCTCCATCACCTCATGACCCGAGCTCATAGTGCAAGGTCTCCGAGGAGAGAATGACATCCGAAGACATCATCACTACACGACCGAATAAACCGGTATTAGTTTTTTTTGTCCAAATGGATCCACACAACAAGAAAGTGAGTAGAGGCCTCGAGGATGCCTTAAGTGTGAGGCAAGTGATGCCCATGGGTGTCACCGCTGATGAGAATGGGTATGATTCCTCATCAACACTATCCATATAACCAACTAGGATCATCATTGAAGTACCAAAGGCAGTGCCTGCCACTAGAATGGGCTTGTAGGGCTGTCATACCGTACATCCAATCACGACCAGCCCAACCTGACCATCGACACCCAACCAAAAAAGATCGAGATCGCCTTCAACTAGAATTGTTGCCAATGGTGTATATCAAGAAAAAGATAAGAGGCACAATAGATACTACGAAGACATCTTTTAGACATCACTAATGGCCATCACAGCTGCACGCCAACTGGTGGTGGTGGTGGCCAGGGAAGGGCACCGATTTAGATCTGTTGGTGGCAGTGGGGAGCCTTTGTGTTTGAGTATTTCTTAGGCCAAACAATAGATCTCTCTAAATACCACTAATATGATAGAGTAATTATAGTTCCTTATCCCGCCGTCTCTACACTTTAAACTAGATTGTGATATGTGCCACTCAACTCCTATTATATATACTAGTAAAAGTTTGCCTTTTTCCTCAATGGCCTTAGGCTCGAGTTCTAAACATCTCTGCTTCACATCCTTCAAGATGTGAATAAAATTGTGAAAAGTTACACGTTCATTTAGATATCCGTGTTTGATTGAAGCAAAAATTGCTAGAATATTTCATACCAAATGAAAAATATATGGCCAACTCTAGTCAGCCAAATTTTAAGCTAATACTCTATCCATCCTAGAAAAAATTACATTTTATTTATTTTCTATGTCAAACAATCTTAATCTATATAAAATAATATGCGTATTTATATTACTATATACAAATAAACGTTATTAGATCTATCCTTAGATTTGTCATAAAACATAGTTTCATAGTATACCTATTTGAGTCATATACGGCAATAATATTCTTTACAAATTTAGGTTAATTTAAAATAAAATTAGAGTATCATTTGGGGGGGGGGGGGAGTACAACTAAACGCCATATAACTATACTTTTTCTAATCGCATACTAGCACTTGTTGTATTAGAAAAATAATATTTTTTTTTATCGTGTCAAATGAAGATTTTTTTTCGAGAGCGTGCATTGGCACGTTTTTCATTAAGCAGGAATGAGAAGTTTTCTTACAAAAGTGTGGTATATGGTCAACCTAAGATTACCAAAGCCCTAGCCTTCGCCCTCCACGAAACTCGCACGTGATTGTGATTACATGACACTAATTTTGTGACTAAAGACAACTACGTAATCAGATGGATCGGCGCCGCAAGTCAATCGCTCCCAGGTGCCAAATGAAGATATTTTTTATATCGAAGTTGTGGCCACGTGATGCTTTGTATTTCATCTTCTTCCACTGTCCATTTTTGTGGCGAACACTACTCTTGTTAATGCATTTAGCATCGTAGTGAACCTAGAGCTTATATAACCTATGAACGACGAACACTACTACAAAGACACGAAATTAGGATGAATAACCACATATGCATAACTATGCTCGAAATAACTATGTGAAAGTAAGAAATCAGTTTTAATAGCGATAAACCCACGTTGTCACGTTTCAGTTCCAGCCCTGCGGCCTGACGACCACACGGCCACACCTACAGGTACCTCACGGGCTCACGGAAGACGGGACACGGCGGCTGATGGGCCTTTCCGTTCCGCTGCTCCCAAGCCTCTCAAGCGTTCAAGCCCTCATCAACGGCTCAACGATCCTCGGAGGCATTTCCTCGAACACCTGACTTGCGTCGCGTGACCGCGCGCCCCCAAACCCCGATAAACCCCAGAGGAGAGAGCACCGCGGATGCCCTCCCGCTGCCCGTCTGATGGCCTCGGCGGCGCGAGGTAGAGAGGGCACCGCCCGTCTCCTCCTTTTCCACTCAGATGTGGTGGCTTCCTCCGGCCGCGGCTCTCCTCCGACGCTCGCTGGCCGCCACCGCGCGCCTCTCCGCTCCGGTACTGCCCTTCCCAGCTTCCCCTAATTTTTGTGATTTCAGCAAAAGAAATTTTGTCGCGGTGTTTTGTTAGCGTGGACCTGTCACGAATTCGAGAATCATGTACAGCCTCACTTGAATCCGAGCGGTTGCTAGGTTACTAACGCGGCGAGGGGGGTTGAGCGCTAGATTACTAATGCAGCGAGGGGGTTGATTGGTTCCTTGCAATTTGAACTTTGCGTAAATTAAGATCCCTGTGGCAGATTATCTAGTAGACCGTTAGTGGTCTCAGCTAATTAGTGTCTTTTGTTAGGAACCAGGACCTAATCCTTGGTTCGGTTGAACATTTGAATGTGTTCTTTTTTTTCTTTTCACCTGTGCTGTTTGAATTGTGTAGCTGGTACCCAAAATGGTGAAATGATCTCATAAGTTTCTTCCATATTTGTATCCAGGGGTATTTGATGCTCGTGAAACAGCCCACTGCACGCACTAATTCACCCATGACTGTGCGTTGCCTCCAACAGTGTGGTTCACATAACACCGATGATGATAGGGTCAGTCAGGCATTTAAGCGGTGCTGCTCAACCATTGCTAGTAGTGGTGCTTCAGAGGCATCACCGTCTGCTGCTTATGTCAAGAACCTCTGCAGATCTGGCAATCTTGTTGATGCTGTTCGTGTTCTTCGACAACTGCATGACGAGCAGATCCATGTCGGCCTGCACACCTTTAATATGTTGCTGCAACACACAGCTGAAGCAAACAGCTTTGCTCTTTTTGCCAAAGTATTCAGGTACCTTCTGCTTTCAAAACTTCCTCCTGATTCGACTTCATATATGAATGTTGCAAAGGCCGTCCAGAAGTTGGATGACTGTGAATTGATACTCAAATTTGTAAGAGAACTTTTGGAAATCACACATCAAAGAGATCCTACAGTTATGAATCGCATTATCTTCGCCACAGCTCAATACGGACACATTGATAAAAGTTTGGTCATTTTTGAAGAGTTGAAGAAATATCAGACCAGCTTGGATGTTGTCACGTTCAACACTGTTTTGGACATGCTAGGGAAAGCTGGTCGGGTGGACCAAATGCTTCGTGAGGTGAAGCTAATGGAAGAACTTGGGCATTTTCCTGACATCGTGACATACAATACACTAATAAACTGCCTGCGAAGGCTTGGTAGACTAGATTTGTGCAAAAGGTTTGCTGGGGAAATGCTAGAGAGAGGCATCACTCCAGATTTGAGAACATACACTGCACTGATTGATAGTTTTGGACGGTCTGGCCATATTACTGATGCCCTGGAAATGTTTCAGAAGATGAAAAAGTCACACCAACCTTCAGTTTATGTTTACCGTGCATTGATCAGCAACTTGAAAAAGGCTGGACAGTTTGAACTAGCACAAAAGCTCACTGAAGATATGAATTCAAGTGCTTCAGAGTTAATAGGCCCAGAAGATTTCAAGCCAAAGAATAAGGGAAGAAGATTTAGAAAAAAAGGCTAAGAGGCCATTGATTGATATTTGAGGCCTGAATCCCTTTTATATGTGCTATGTGCACATCTGCAGTCCCATACTGCTAGAGTTTCTGGAATTGGTTGAAATGTTTTGTAGAATGAAACTCACAGAATTATAGAGAAATACAAAGCTTTAAGATGACAGAAGCATGATGGTTAGGTAGACATGTAATGATACAGGGTCAAGAGGACCTACTGGCTGCATGATTTTAAGCAGCTCACGGCCTCACGGGTCACGAGTAATTTTAAGATTCACCAAATTAGAAGACCTGGAAGCTGCATCTGTTACTCATTAATCTGCTTTATGTAACATGGACACACTGCAGGATTTGGCTTGAGACATAGGCGAGTATCATGTGAGGCAGAAACATGTAGAATTACAGCTTCTCCAATTAGTTTTTTCTGTGAATCTTAGGCATGAATAGAGACAAGATTCCTTGTTTTCTCCATTTCGTTTTCCTTGTAATCAGAAAGTGTATAATTACTAGTGAGTTGATTAAATTCAGTTTATTATCTTAGCTATTCGATCACCTACCCACTCCCTCTATTCCAAATTATAAGTTATTTT